CCCCCCCTCTGTGCCTCTGCCTCTGTCTGCTGCTTGGAATCAACCCACCTGCACTGTGTGGGGTGTGCAGCCCCAGAGTGCACTGACCAAGGAGCTGGTAGATACCATCAGTCCCCCTGCACTTGCCACTTCTTCTGCATGCACCGGGGGGGAAAAGTGCTCAGCCAGGCTGATCACCCCGAAACTGCATTTCCCCCAAAATAAGCCATCATGCTTCTTTTGGAGCTCCCCAAAACATAAGATTGGGTCTTATTTTCAGAGAAACACAATGTAGATAGATAGAGATAGAGATTAGATATAGATATATTAACAATGTACCTATTAGTTCTGTTCCTATAGAATAAAAGTGCTGGATTGTCTTGATTATTTTACATAAAGCAGCAAGCTTTAGTAGAATTGTAGAATGATCCATAGTTAGTATTCTACCATAGTATTCTACTATAGTATTCTACTATAATTTCTCCAACAATCATATTAGTACTATCAAACACATCAATTTAAAATATTTTTAAAAATTCAGTATCAGTAAAATAATTCTGTTTGGGAGAGTTACCCATCTCCTCAGGCAAATTTTGAAGGCACGTGGAAAATTCCAGAAGGAAGAAAGATTTTCACTCCTGTTTCACTAATGTTTAACTATGTAGATAAAATTATATTGCAACAATAAAAAAATACACGGCTACAGTAGTACTACTAGTAGTAATAAGCCAGTTATTATTTTTCACATGTAAGTCTTTTTTAAAGATCTGTTTAAAATCCCTTCCAAGCATGATAATAAATAAACTATGTTGTTCAGAACAAACGGATGTTGTATGCTGTACTGTGAATACAAAACAAAAATAAGAGTGAAAAATCTGTGCTGTGGAAAAGAAATACAAACAGTAACTGTGTGGTTTGACTGTCTATGTCTTGAATTTCTAGACAGTGTATGTTCATATCCCATAAAGCATTTTTTTAAAAAAAATCTGAAATGAAGCAGGTGATAGATTGGAGTCATACATTACAATAATTAATACAGTCGTTTGTTAATGGTTTGCTTAATAGTTTGAATATACATTATGCTGGATATACACTGCTTTAAGCTAAGCCAAAGCAAACAATCAACAGTATGGCTTAATATAGTAAAGGGTTTTTTTAACTGTCTAAATATCAGATCTACTGTATATATTTAATTTCTTATCCATTTGCCAAAGGTGAATGTTTTGCTGGATTTGTCCTTTATAAGGTATAAATGAAACAATAAGCTATTTTATCTAATAGTTTCCCCAGTGCAAAGTCCTGCTAAACTGAAAGGGATTGAAAAGGATTTATCCATTCAAGCAATCCATTGTCAGAATGTTTCAGTAAGCAAGGCATTATCATCCTCAGATACTGGTAAGTTTGTGTTTTCTTTAGAAATGCATGGGACAATCAGACAGTGGTATTCTTTTTTTAAAAAAAAAATATTGGTTTTTGAAAACAAACATAAACAAAACATAAAAATGTCAAGCTATCTTCCATATGTGTACATACAGCGTGCCAGTTGGTTTACAAATTGTTTTGTGCTTCCATTTCATAGTCTTCAATTACAATTACATTGCATATAATCTCATATTTTCAATCAAAAATTAAATACCTTAGAATCATTATTAATCAATCATTTGACTATACTTTTATTCATTCATGTTTTATAAGATAATCATAATTTACTTAGTTTATTTTATAACAGTTCACATTATCATCCCAAATCTATCCTAAAATCATTTTGTAGATATAATAAGAAAGAAGTACATCTTTATATATTTATTATTTTCTAAAAGTCTACATAGTTCATTACTGTATTTTATTGTCTAACAATTGATAGAAAAGATCCCAAATTTTATAAAATTGTTTATCCTCTTGTTCTTTAATTTCAAATGTCAATCTACTCATTTCAGCACATTCCAATATTTTCTTAATGATTTCCTCCTGTGATGGTATTTTCTCATTTTTCCAGTTTTAGCAAATACAATCCTAGCTGCTGTTAATACATTTACAATCAGGTATTTCAAGTCTTTACTATATATTTCAGGTAAAATTCCCAATAAAAATATCTCTGGTTTCAAGTCTATATGTTTTTTCATCATTTTCTCCAACCACGTGTGGATTTTAGTCCAGTATTTTTTAGCATCAGCACAAGTCCACCACATATGGTAATATGAGCCAGGTGTCTGATGACATTTCCAACATTTTTCGGATTTATTCTTGAACATTCTTGCTATTCTTGTCAGGGGAAAATGCCACCTGTAAAACATCTTATACAAATTTTCTTTACATGCTGTTGACATTGTCTTTTTATAATTTTGAGACCACAATTTTTGCTATTTCTCTAAATCTATCCCATATCCAAAAAATTTTCCCCAAGCAATCATAGTTTCTTTAACTTCTTCTTCTACTTTAATTTCTAATAAATATCCATACAGTTTTTTAATCATCTTTTCATCAGTACCTGTCAAAATCTTATCTAAATCAGTCAATTTATCATAGAAACCTTCCATTTTAGAATCTTTATCATACCTTGAATGTATTTGCGCATTTGAAAACCAATTCATCTTTATACCTTGTTCCTCTAGTTTTTATATAGATTTGAGTTCACCCTTTTCATTCAATATTTCACCACATCTAACTGTTTGTTCCTTTTTGTATATTATAGGATAAGAAAATGCTTCAATAGTCGATAACCAGACTGGAATTTTCAAATAACATTGTCTTTTAATCTTCTCCCAGTTTAACCACAGAGACTCCCGTATATGTCTTCTAAAATACCCCTGAGTTTTAGTTCCTTTATACCATAAAAAAGCATACCACCCCAACAACAAATCATGTCCTTCTAATGTCAACAATCTAGTATTTCTTAGTGTTATCCATTCCTTAACCCAGGGGTCCCCAACCACTGGGCCGCAGACTGCTACTGGTCCGTGGAACATTTCCTACCGGGCCGCCGGTTTGCTGGGCACCGCCATCTTGTTTGACGAGAAAGTGCTTCCGGGTGAGCTTTTCCGGTTGGAAAGTGGCGTTTGGGTCCTGAAGGAATCCTTGCGCCTTAGTTTCATCAAAGGGGGGGGGGGGGCTTCAAACGAAACTAAGGCACGAGGATTCTTTCAGCACCCAAGGCAAGATGAGCCCAGCGACCGTCCCAAAGCCATCCTGAAGCAAAGCCCATCAACAAAGGTACAAATGAGTTGAAGTTGGTGGGGAGAAGCGGGGGACGGCTGGCTGGCCGATCGCTCGGCTCGCCTTGTCATGCGTGCTGATGCCGGTACCGGGCCGCGGCACAAAAAAAGGTTGGGGGCCACTGCCTTAACCCACATCAAATTTGTAGCTTGGTAATACAACTCCCAAATAGGCAAACCAAATCCTCCTCTAATTCTAGCATCTTGCAAAAGTTTTAACTTTATTCTCGCTTTCTTACCTTGCCATATATATTTCAACACAATTTTATTTAAATCTTCAAAGTAATCTTTTCCAAGCCTAATTGGAATTGTTTGAAACAAATATAAAATTCTGGGTAATATATTCATCTTGACTGTTGAAATTCTCCCTATTAGTGACAGTTGTAAATTTTCCCATTTCACCAAATCTAGCGCTATCTGCTGTTTAAGTTTGATATAATTATTCTCTCTTAATGTACTACATCTTGCTGTCAAATATATCCCCAAGTACTTGATCTTATTCGTAACCTGAATTTTCCATAGGTCTGCCAGTTCTTCCTTTTGTCTTAATAGCATATTCTTTATCAAGATCTTTGTCTTATCTTTATTTATTTTCAAACCAACCACCTTTCCATATGTCTCTATCTCTTCTATCAATTTTGATGCTGTTTCTAAACGGTCTTCTAAGATGAAAACCAGATCATCTGCAAATGCTTGCAGCTTAAATTCTTCCTTTTTCATTTTCATTCCTTTTATATTCTTTTCATCTCTAATATTTCTATTTAGCACTTCCAAAGTTAACACAAACAACAGAGGTGATAGTGGGCACCCTTGTCTTGTTCCTTTTCTTATATTGATAGAGTCTGTCAGTTCTCCCTCTATCATTATCTTTGCCATCTGCTTATAGTATATAACTTCTATTGCTTGAATAAATCTTTTAGCAAAACCCATCTGTTCCAACAGTAATAACATGAATCACCAATTCACATTATCAAATGCTTTCTGTGCATCTAGAAATATCAGAGCCACTTGTTTTTCAGGATGTGCCTCGTAGTATTCCAGGGTATCCAAGATTACTCTCATATTGTCTTTAATTTGTCTCATTGGCAGAAATCCATTTTGATCAGGATGGATAAAATTATTTAAATATTTTTTAAGTCTTTCTGCCAATATTGAAGCAAAAATTTTATAATCTGCATTTAGTAGAGAAATGAGTCTATAGTTCTTAATTTGTAATGGGTCAGCCGCCTCTTTTGGAATAAGTGTAATATAGGCTTCTGACCTTGATTTAGGTATCTTCTTCTTTAACATAACTTCATTCATAACTTCTAGCAATGGAAGATTCAATGATTCTTGTAATGTTTTGTAAAATTCTGCCGGAAGTCCATCTGGGCCTGGTGCCTTTCCATTATTTTGCTTCTTGAGTGCTTCAGTTAACTCCATCATCGTTATATTGCTTTCTAACATTTTTTCAGTGTCTTTAGGTATCTGAGGTAAGTTAGCATTCTGTAAGTACTGCTTGACTCTTTCCTCATCAATATTCTCTTGCATATACAATTTCCCATAGAAGTCTCAAATGATTTTCTTCTTCTCTTTATTACCATGGCAAACTTGGCCTTGATCATCTATTAATTGCAATATTTTCCTTGATTCTTTCTCCTTTCTCCTTTCTCAATTTGTATGCTAACCATCTACCTGGTTTATTTGGGTCTTCAAAGTAGTTCTGTTTAGCCCTTCTAATTTTCTGTGCTAATTCTTCTTTTTCTATTTCACCCATTTTATATTTAATTATATCCATTTTTAGCTTGATGTCCTTTTTCTGTGGCATTTTCTGTAGCTCTTTTTCAAGTCTTTTATACTCATCATCTAAGGCCTTAGAGGCTAGTCTTTTCATAGTATTCCTTTTCCTTGTATAGTCTATTATCAAGCCTCTAACATCATTGTATACATTCTGAATTGATGTTTCTTCTTTTTTGTTTTCTCTAAAGAAAAAAACCAATTCTTTCTCCATCCACTGTGTGAAGTCTTTTTCCTTTAAAATAGTATTATTTAACATCCATCTAGATCTTCTTTTTTGTCCTTTCCATTTAATTGTCATTGGATTGTGATCTGTCCAAGTACTTGTTTCAATATTTATTTCTTGAATATTAGTTATTAATTCTGTTGACATCCATATCATATCTATTCTGGACCATGATAAATGTCTATTTGAATAGAAGGTGTATTGTTTAGTTTTAGCATTTCTTTCTCTCCATGTATCTTTTAAGTTTATTTCATCTACCATTTTAAAAAAAGATTTAGGGAGAGTCTTTCTGTTTTGCTTTATTGTTTTCTGTGCTGTATAGTCCAATTTATTGTCTACAATTCCATTAAAATCTCCCATCATAACTATATTAGCATAGTGCAGTTCAATTATTTTCATATGTAATTTTTTGTAGAATTCTTCTTGTTTGTCATTCGGAGCATAGATTGCAATCAGGAGTGTTTTCGTATTATTGTCCATTATTTCCACCATTAGTATTCTTCCATCATCATCGGTATAAATCAATTTTGCTGGGGTGGTCTCTTTAATATATAAAACCACTCCTCTTTTCTTACATTGGGTCAAGGAAGTAAATATTTTCCCTAATTTTGGCTGTATCAACAATTGTTCCTATTGTTTTTTAATATGTACTTCTTGTAGACAAATTATATCAAATTTTAATTTCTCTAATTTATGAAAGGTTTTCCTTCTTTTAACGGTTGAGTTAAGTCCATTTATATTAATTGTAATCAGTTTTTTCTCTTCCATGGTTATATTTTGTAGTTAAGTTTAGCAGCTCTCGTAGATCTTAGTTCATGTTGTTCTTTAGCTTCCACCTTTCCACCTACTGCACCTTCTTTTTCAGTTGCCATTTGGCAGTCCTCTTGGAACTCAACTCGTGAGATCTCTTTTTCTGCCTCTTCCTCTTTCCCTCCAAAAAATTCTGTATAAAATAATTCCGCTTTCTCAATTGAGTCAATTCTATGTCTCTGTTCTTGCCATGTGAACATTAAACCTTCTGGAATCAGCCATCTATAATTCACCTCTTTTTAAAGTAGCATTTTAGTCAGGAATCGGTATTCTCTTCTCATCTCTCTCACTCTTCTGGGTATTTGTTTCAAGACCACAATCTCCTTGTCTTTATATTTCAATGTTTTCTCTTTTGCCACTTGCAATATTTGCGTTTTAATGGCTTTCTTTATAAATCTAATATGAACTTCTCTTGGTAAGCTCATCGCATATCTTGTGAAAAGTCGATAAACCTTGTCTATTCCATAGATCATGTTCTCTTGAGTTATTTCCAAAGCTTCAGGCAGTATTTCTATCATTATCTCAGCTAAATTTTGTCCTTTTTCTTCCTCTATGTTTTGGAATCTAAGATAGAATTCTGATCTATCCATCTCCCATCTCAACATACCACTTTTATCTTGTTCAACCACCGTTAATCTATTATCAATATCTCCAATCTTCTTGTCTCTTTGTTTATCTTCTTCAATTTTTTGGAATCTCTCATCATACTTCAACATCATTTGTTGGATGTTCTCAACTTTTTCATCAGTTTTCCCTGTTCTTTGTTCAATGTTCTCTGTTCTTTGTGCAATGTTCTCTGTTCTTTGTTCAATGTTCTCTATTCTCTTTTCAATATTCTCTGATCTTGCTTGATTATTTTAAATTCCTTGCATAATCTGCAGAGTCACTTTTTCTTGTTCTTTTTCTTGCTTTAACATTGTCTGTATTGAACCTTGTCCTCCAGATGGTGGAGAGGAAGAAGTAGAAGTTGAAGAACCAGGGGCTGTAAATTTCCTACTCATTTTAAGCAATTCAAAATCTTCAGGCTCTTCTAAACCTTAATCCAATTGTGAAGTAACCAATTATAGTTCAAAATAAAAATAGTAGAAAAAAGAAGCCCAATAATAATGATAAGAAAAAACTAGAAAAAAAGGAGGACAAAATTTCTTCGGGTTCTTGTATACCTTAATCCAATCAGTAGTTAGATGTAGAAAAAGTCTTGAAAAAAAAAAGGAAAAGGAAAAAATTTTCAGGTTCTTTAACACCTTAATCCAATTGAAGGGTCTCAAATAGAAAAGAGTGCATAAGAATAAACCAGAAAGGTAGATGAAAAAACAAAAATACCAGGAAAGGAAAAAAAAAAGCTATTCCCTTAAAAAAAAACATGAATACTAAAGCTTTCCCTTTAAAATAAAAAGCAAACGTAGAGATTGGACTTCCAAAGAAAAAAAGAAAAACAAAGACAAGCTCCAACAAAGCCAAAAACCCAAATAGTTATTACAAGAAAAAAAAAGATAAAATGAAATACAAAAAAGCTGGTGAGGAGGGATAGCACAACTTAGAAAAAGTAAAAAGAGCACACTGCACTTTGTTTAATCATCCAAGGCTCTTATTATAGCTCTCTTCTCCAAAAACTTATCACCTTTTTTCCCCCTTGGTTTCAACACCAGAGTCCAGCTGTTGATAGAAACCCAGAAGAGCACCTGCAATAATACTCTCCCATGCTCTTCCCTCTATCTTATCAAATAGCAACGTCCTTGAAAAAGAGTCTCAGTTCTTTCTTTCTCAGCTTTGACTGGTCACAGGGAAATAGAATATTTTCAAGCCTCTAGTTGGCAGTGTTACAAAGTTTCTTTGCTTTCACTTTCCCGCTACTTTTCCAAGCAAGATATAATAAGAATTAATAAAAAAAAAGAAAAAGATATTTTAAAAAAAGAAAGAAGTAAAAGGGAGCCTCTAGCCTAAAATATTACAAAATCAAAAAGGAGAAAAAAAATAGATGTAAAAGAAAAAACCATTTCAGTTTCAAAATATAAGAGTGTGTATAGAAAATCCAGCAATGAGAAAAAAAAATTATTTTGACATTCCTGTTTAAAATCGCTGGTTAATCACTTCTGTCAAAAACTTTTACAGATTCTTTTCCTTAGGGTATCCTTTCAGATCTTAGAATAAAGAAAAAGTTCTCACCAAACCGGCACACTCTCTCTTTCTGCTCTCTTCTGTTTTGGAGCTGTCCCAACTTCAGCAGCTTTAATGGCTGCCTCTTTGCCGCTGGCAAGAAGAGCTTCTCCTGGATCTACCAGGGACTTTGTGGTATCCCTGGGATTGACAGGATGTGCTCTTCACTTTCACTGTCTCTTCGGGACGGTTTAGATCCGATAGGACCATCCAGGAGCAAAGATATCGGCAGCTCCGCTCTCCACTCCAGACAGTGGTATTCTAATAAACTCATATCAAGCAAACATTCAGCTGGCATGTGATGGTTTTTAGGGTCGGTTTATACAACTGATTTTGAATTGGAAGACACTGGGTTGTTAGTCCCACCACCACCAAATGACTGTTTGATACTATGGCTTACTTCACACAGAATAATAAGCCTGATTTCTATACATGCCAAGGTGAACAATAATACTTAACAGAGTCACAGAAATTGAGCAATTTGAATTGGAAAGGAATATCTTAGGGACTCATTTTTTGCTTTCATAAAGAAAACAAGCTAAAAGATCACTGCATTTTCTATGATATCATAATCTTCCACTAAGAGGGTTATAGTTATGATAATGCCATAGGAGATATGAAATATCAATGGGCAGTTTCTATGTAGTATTAAGAAAATACTGCTACTAAAATCTGCTCCTTTGACAAATAGCTATAGAGGTTATCTGAGATTTTTCCAGAATACATATATTCCATTTTAATGACTGCTACTTCTAATCACTGGCATTTAGTTACAAGAAACTGGTTGGTAGAACCTGAAAAGCAAATCTGCCTCTGAAGCGCTTAGGACTAATTTGATATGAAGCTGTTTATCATATAAACTATACTGTTCACAAGATGTATTTTGAGTGTATGTATATTTAAACTTTGAATTGCCTCTATTGATGAAATGCAAGCAAAATTCTCAGAACTGTTTCTTGAAATGCAAACCAATGGAAAAATATTGCTTTATTTTTTAAAGAATTGAATTTTAATTTCTACTAAGGCATTTTTGCTTGATTCTGTATTGTGCACTTGATTATTTTATCTGGTCATTCTCTTATTTATTTATTTATTTATTTTGGCAGAGTTACTGGTGTTGAATGGCACAGATCCTGTGGCTGAAATAGCCATTCAACAGCTCAGTGAATCTGCAAAGCAAAAGCTCAAATCTCCCAGAAAAAAAAGCACCATCATAATATCAGGGATTTCAAAGGTACAAAATAATCATGATTTTTTTTTACTTAATTAATTCAAAATCATTTTTTTTCCTACTAAATTCTTTTAAAAACTCCCCACTGGATTTATGTGGGATTTTGCGGTTGAATTTCTAGACTGCGGCATGGTTTCCCAGAAGAAAAAAGACATTTCTTCTGAATACTGCAAGCATCAGAAAGATTACACTAACTGTTGCTAAAGTTTTTCATGTCATGAAGTAAAAAACAAAACAATAATTTGTGGTTCTCTGTACTTAGGGTAAAAAACATAGTAATTAGAATCAGGTATAGATGTAATGAGTTAATTAATTAAAATTTATCTAGATCAGACCGTAGAAGCCTATGGTCTGACCTAAGCTTAGTACACAAAATTGTCTGCTACAACATCCTACCTGTCAATGACTACTTCAGCTTCAACCACGATAATACACAGGCAAACAATAGATACAAACTTAAAGTAAACCACTCCAAACTCGATTGCAGAAAATATGACTTCAGCAACAGAGTGGTCAATGCCTGGAACTCACTACCTGACTCTGTTGTTACATCCTCAAACCTCCAAAACTTTAAACTTAAACTGTCTACCGTGGACCTCACTCCATTCCTAAGCGGTCTGTAAGGGTGTGCATAAGCACACCAGCGTGCCTAACGTCCCTGTTCTACTGTTCCCATTTATTCGTCTCATTTATTATGTACATACTTACACCAGTTTATATTTATATGTTTATATGTTATGTTTATACTTGTTTTCTCATACACGGTTGACAAACTAAACTAAATAAATAAAGGAAACTCACTTTTTATTCCATAGCATGTCCAAGTGTGCATGGTAGAACATTGACACAAACATTTTAAGCATATCTAAAAATTCTTTTTGGTTCTAATTTTATTCCAAACTAATGGTGTTTTGGCTGTGGTATTTGTTTTTCATGTTTCAGACTAATTTATCTCAGGACAGCAAAAGTGCACTCATGATGGACTACGCAGCAGCCATGGATGGCTCCTGTAAACAAGATGATACTTTTAGTTTTGAAGGGTGTCTTGCACAATCCCCTTCAGATGAAAAAGTATCGCTAGCTGCCTCCCAAATGACATCTGCCCTTGAAGAACCCCAGGAACACAGCCATGGTGCCTGGACCTTAGACAGTCACCATCAATGGAGCAACAATGCACTACTAGACCAAGACTGTGATAAGATATCAGGGAGCTCTGTAAGCATCTCAGAATCTGAAATTGGGAAGAAATCCAAAGGTATGAATCTTTCCTATTAAAGAGGCATCAGTGGCATAGTTTTCTCCAGCCAGGTATTTTCTAGACCAGGGGTGGGGAACTATGCCTCTTTTATGACTTATGGGCTTCAGCTGCCAGAATGCTGGCTCAGGAATTCTGGGAGTTGAAGTCCACAAGTCCTAAAGGGGGCCATAGTTTCCCACCTCTATTCTGAGTATCGTTAGAATTCCAGTCCAAAACTTTTTAAAGTGCCAGAAGTGGAGAGCTGTTCTAATTAGTCTTGTATTTAAATCAGAGAAGGCAATATTTTTGAGCCTTGGGCACACTTAGAAAATCACTGAGGTGGGGATGGAGTGTATGCTCCCACTGGGGTTGTGAATAGGGATTAGAGGAACGCTGGTGGTATTTCTTACCCCTTCCTCTTGTACTTTACTTTTTCCTGGTAGTAATCTGGAACAGTCTTCTTAACAGAACAACCATGTTGCTGTTTTGTTTTACTTTCAGATTCTGTCTTTGAAGAAAAACATTTTAAAAGTTCAGAATTAAAAAGAAAAAAAACGCATGGAAATTATGTGTGTATGTGTGTAACAAAATCCTCTCTATGGTTTTTCAATGTCTATGTGTTATTCTAGAACAGGTGGGCAATTAATTTTCCCAAAGGGCCACATGAGAAACTGGGATTATTATGGAGAACCAAACATTAATAATAGGCTGAATTTAATTCTGTTCAATATTAATTTTATCACTTTATAAAAAGCAGTAACTTGTATGGTTTTACTAATATGAAGGTGCATAAGCATGCATGCATGCATGTACCTAAATTGAAAAAGCAGTCACCTTCAGAATAAGTTGTAATGCATGCATAGCGTACACTTTTTTACATTTGATTTCTAATTTCCAAGTGATCTCACATGGGCCAGACAGGGGTCAGAAGTGGCCTGGGATGGGGGCAGTAAAATATCCAGATTTGTTCTAGAATGAATGGTTCCTGTGAAAATCCATTTATCTGTCTTTTGAATATAAATATTTTTCCTTTTGATCTATGTAACAGATCAGAGTATTGAATCATGAATCAGTGGTGGGATTCAAATTTTTTTACTACTGGTTCTGTGGGCATGGCTTGGTGGCCATGGCAGTGGAAGGTTACTGCAAAATCCCATTGCCTCCCCACCCCACTAACCTGCTTTCCAGCTCCGTTCTCCTGTGCAGGGCAACAAAAGAAGACACAGCTGATCAGCTGGGACTTGGGAGGCAGAGAATAGACGGGGGTGGGGCCAGTCAGAAGTGGTATTTGCCATTTCTCCAAACTACTCAAAATTTCTGCTACCGGTTCTCCAGAACTGGTCAGAACCTGCCGAATACCACCTCTAGATTGAATGTGGTGATTGATGCAAACAAGCAGCTTCTTGTTCTTTGCATTAAAGCTACAGAAAATTTCTGTTGAATATAAATAGCATGTACAAGGAGAATACCAGGAGTGTATGGTAACATTTGAGGATATTGTGCAGTTCTTTTGCTCAGGTTTAGAAGTAATTACAATTTCCTACAATATGGATAAGCAGTCTAGAAAATTCCTATGACACAATTGCAAGTGACAGTATGAAATTGTACAGCTATAGATGGGAAGAAGATCTAAACAAAAGCTGGGTAAAAAGACTCTTTTGTGGGTTCTTGGGATTTTGATGTAAGACAAAGCAGGCCAGGCTCCACCTGTGGTTTTCTTTCTTTCTTTCTTTCTTTCTTTCTTTCTTTCTTTCTTTCTTT